GACGAGTTGGGACTGCCAGCCCCGTCTCACTAATGTCATAAACCAGTTTGTAAATGAGCCACAGCATAATGTCCATATCTCCCACTCACTGTCTGTGTATCCAGGCATGCGTTGGATTCTAGAAAAGAGCGGGAGGTACGGCAGCTCATGCGTTCTGGGATATTTGGCTGCACCAAGTCCACTGATGCATGCTCAATAAAACAGGAGGAGCGAGAACACATCTGGGAATTTTGAGCATACTTTAAATTGGAACAGTACTTGGTCTGCGGCTGATGACATATCACAAGTCCACGAGATTGCAAGTACACACAAGTACGCATATTGAGACACGGCCAGTTGTTTGCACAGTGGTAGCAGAGGGAGAGCACATACTGCGACACGCCCGTTAAGTATCCAATGCTAAGCAGCAGCACAGATGCTCACAGATGAAAATACCCCAGTGTTTATGGACTCAAACATTTAGACATGACTTTAGTGACTTAAGGATAAACTTTGCAATTATTGGTCCTGCACTAATGTCCATTTTTCGTAGCTCTGCAGCTACATGGAGGGAAGGATTATGGGAATTCAGTGAGCACAGAGTCCAAAAAGCCAATGTAGCTCTGCGTTGGTAGACTGCCTTAAAAGGTTTACTTGAACGGGGACGAAGAACCACATCGGAGCTCTCCACGAAGAGGAAAAGGTGCTAAATAAAAGATCAAAAAACCTTGCATGAGGAGCACAGACAGCTGCTGCAGTAGAGTTTCACTTGTTTCCAACACTGTGTTTCATTTCAGTGGAAAGAAGTTAGCTGCGCCCTGCTTGTGGCCGAAGGACCAGCAACAGGACGAAGATGGACACGAGCAGCCCACATTGCCAGTTATTATAAATATTCTCAACACTGCCCCTGCTGACAGAGTAAAGCTATAACATTTAGATGTGTGTGTGCAAAGCTCTGAGTAGCACCATGTGAGACACTTTAGCTCTAACCTCTAAGCAACTTTGGTGCAGCCTCGTCAACCTGCACACGACCGAAAGCAGGACCTTAACTCCGAAGCCTCAAACTTCGTGAGACTTTACTTGGAATGGAGCGACTTGGCTAACGCAGCGGCGTAGACCGGGTTGATTTCCTGTCAAGCGGCTGAACGCCTGCGTGAAGTTTTCTTTTCTCCCCGTCAGCACTGCGAGCACTTCAGCGAACATCCCCCGCTCAGTGTCAGACGGTCTGCGGTGTCAGATAGTTCTGCAACCCCGGCAGAACATTGTGGTTTATTTTAGAGCAGATGATCTAAAAATTGACAAAACCTCCAGCTGAAGTGTGAGCAGGATGTTTCTAATGTCTGGTTAGTTAAGTTTCTTTGCAGTTTGTTTGGTCTTCCTCCCCTCCAGCAGGGCAGCGGCGGAACGATGCCAGAGCTCATTCTGCTAAGGAGGCATGTATGTGTTGAGGAGGAGTGCTAACGAGTCTTAGCCAACGAGGAGGTGAAGCTGCTGCGGGGTGACCTTTGACCCTCAGAGGCACTCTCTTTCAGACTGGGCTGCCTCTGGCGGGGTCGCGGTGCCCCACGCTTGCCGGAAGGCTGCGGTCGAGGTCAGAGCGAGAAACCCAGAGCCTCCGTCCTTTTTCCAACATCGACACCGACCAATCGAAAGGCTGCAGGAGAATGGAGGAGGAGGAGGAGGAAGGACAAATGAGTCTAATTCCTCTTTCTCCGTGTTGGAGAAACAAAGCTTTTCTCGGTGTGTGCAGAAGTTTTGGGCCTACAAGATGTTTCCATTTATTATCCAATAATATCAGGGAGGCGTCTGATTGGCTCTGAATTCCTTCTGAAGCAGCTGCAGTTGAGGAACTAACTTCAGCCACGAGAAGAACAACAAGTCCTGCAGCAGAAGGTTTAGGCCTCATGGAGAAGAAGAAGACATTCAGATGGGTTTTCCAAAATGTTCAAAACAACAATTCTGCCAACTGCAACCAAGTGTCATTTTGAACCATGTGAGGTCACAAACCCAAGCCCATGTCTTAAAGAAAATGAAACAGGACTCATATGGAAAGAATTTTATTATTTTTTGAGGTGCGTCAGTTAAAATGTCAATTTTTTGCCCACTGATTCCTAATATTCGGAAGCACAATTTAAATAAATAATAAATTCCATGTTCTGATTGCAAAGGGTTATCACGAGAACATCCCACATGCTGGACCGCGTTCCAGCTCCAATGCTGTCACCTCCTCAAGACAATGTTTGTCATTCCACCAGGAATGTTTTAAGCATCTGATTCACTGAGCTTAACTTAAAATATAGCCGTGTCTATTTTTAGGCTTGTCGGGCTGCACAGACCAGATGAGGAGGTCAGGAAGCCTGACACAGGACTTGCACAGAGAAGCTTGTCAATTTTCAAAATAAAAGACTGGGTGCATGGCTAAATCCTTCGATTCGGAGGTGCTTCTTTTGTGATTCAAACCTCTGCGGAGCTCTGGGTTTACTTGTAGGGTTAGCGGTCATCATCGATGTCAAGAGTTTAAAGGGTGCTTACGCCAAATATCGAAAGGACTAGATCAATTTAAGGGACACAAGTGAACAACTTTTCACTGTGGTAACAACATAGTAGTTTAATCTCATTCTGTGAGCATGTATGAAGAGTTAACCTATCAGCAGCGATGCATACAACAACACGGCATATTAAAGAGACTGCACGCTGGAATGGAAATACTGGAAACTGAAATTTCAGCAGGTGCAGCCTCAGGTTAGCACTTTATAATTGGTTAATATGACCATATGTAACTCCTGCCAAGTAATGAAAATATAAAAAGATCTATGTACTAAATTCACAGTCAAACATTTGTAATTGACTGGATAATATGCGGCTTGACTTCCTGTCTTCGTCGCTCTGATTTCCTGATTGTTTCTACCTGTGTCAGGTTTCTTTCCTTTGATTTGCTCCCCTGCCCTCGTTAGCTTCAATTGTGTCCAATCGCCTTTCTCATTTTTCTAATTTGTGGCTCCTCGTCTGCTCCGTTTTCCTGCTTATGACACGTAAATCAGTCTCAGTGCGTCTCAATTGTTAAAAAGCATCTGGAGGACGGAGGAGATATAATCAAGGAGGCACAAGTGTATCCTCAGAGGGGAAGGTCACCTGTAAGTATATAAATATGCCACAGCACGGCTGGAAAATACAGGAGAAGGACTCTTTAAGCAGCACATGTTTAGTTAAATCACTGTTTTATTTGGGAATATAAAATATCCTATAGGCACAGGTAACATTAATTACCTCCAAGCACTACCTGGACTTTTATAATATAAACACTTGGAATTGACCACATGTTGAAGAAAAAGGCATCTTAACCAAAAGGAAACTACTGAATACCCCAACTTACAGTAAATGAGGACTAAGATTTTATTTCTTTGTTATAACATTTATGTTATCTGTGTTTTGTTTTTCTCATCTGATTTGGATTGAATTTGATTCATTTTGGTTAATTGTAGGATATTGAAGACTCCTCCTATTGGTGGAGTTTTCCTGGTGGAATTTTCCGCTCTCACCTAAATGGAAGTTTCCTACTGGTAGAGCACCAACTGGAAAATAGTCGGTGTGTTCATGGAGTCCGTTTTCTCCCAGGTGTGTGTGTGTGTGTGTGTGTCTAAACGAGTCGGAGTTTTAGGTTGAGTATAATGATGCCATGAGCTTAAGGAAATATAATTTCATATAAAAAGAGAGTGCCTTGGAGATTTTTGATTATTTAGCTTATATTTGTCCCTTCCAAAAAGCTGTTGCTCCATCTGAGACATAAAGATTTAGTTGGGCTTCTTAGCTGTTTAAAATGAGGCTCTGAAAGAAGGATGCCTCATTAAGTTAAATGCCTGTTGCTTTGACTCCTCTCTGGTGGACTACAGGAAGGCTAAGATGTGAGGAGATTAACTGAGAATGTACATTTTAAGCAATAAAGGGAGACAGTTCTGCACTTCCTCCTTGTCAGCTGTTAGTTCTTCCTTTCATTATTTATGCTCCTATTTAGGATTCCTGTTTCTTTTACAATAACGGCTCAATTGTTTTGAAAGGTGATGCCCGTCTCTGCAGTGTCCAAGTCTTTAAAGATAAACACTGTCTTATACATCTTTGTAATCAGGTTCATGTGTTTTTGTGCTTGTGAGCTTTATAAGTGGCCTTTAATGTTGTTTATTATGCTTCTATCAATGATGTTCTTTTGTCTTCTTCATCTTTGCTTTTCTTTTACCCTTTATAAATGCCACCAACCTGCAGATTAAACTGAGCCTGCATGACTAAGCGTTCAGTTTAATTAACGTGTGTCCTTTTTTAAATAAAATAAACTTGTTAATGCACCGTGTCTCTTTCAGTCTCTGGGAGGTTTCGTGTTTGCCCTCAGCAGTATGTCAGAGTTTCCTCTGAGGGGAATTTACCTGCTGCTAATGTAGTGAAGGTGTTTTTCACAATAAAACTTTATTTTAGAAAACTGAAATAAATGTACATTTTCAGTCCAGGAAACAAGGATTACTCTGATAAGCTGCCTATAAGGAGAGTTAATACTGTATAATGTGATAATGATTACTGGTTTGTCAGACTGGGAGTAGACATCTCCCAGTTTAATTTTGTGACAGAGCAACAGGATTTTCAGGATTCAGACGCTGATCTCAAACGCCTTCGTTCTCATTTCAGTTTCACTGTAATAAACTTTACTTACATGTGATTTGAAAACAATATTCCCCCAAGCACCGGCGTGTTTGGGACAACGTTCATCAAAATGTGTCAATCAGCTCACGAGGAGATCCTTAAATAAACCCCAAATCCTCAAGAGCCCTTTGTCTGTGTTCGAATGATGACCTGGAGCGCCTCCTGCTGGAGGGCTGCAGGGATTACAACGAGACAGAATAAACTAAAAACATCGTCCAAGTTTCTCATCAACATGTCTTCATCTCCTTAACCTTTTTGAGCTCACCTGATTTCCTCAACTTCTTAGACACAAGAACTGTCTTCTCACTTCTTGCTACTTCACAGGAAACAACAGGTGAAACTTAAAATCTTTATTCAGACCCAAAACAAATCAAAATTTACATTCAACACAAAAAAAAGAAAAAGGATGAGCGTGCAGACTCTCTGCAACCTTCAAGCTTCGGTACAGTCAAAACTGACACGGACAAGAAACACAAACCTCTCAAAGGTTTGTTTCAAAGCTAAAGAACCAAAGAAGAGCATTAAACAGTCCTGCAGCAGATTTCTTTAAAGGTGCTCGTCTTTTTCTTTGTGCTCTGGTTGCAGAGGCTTCGCCGCTCCTTCTCTCGACAGCCTGTCAGCCTCCTCGTTGCCTCTGTAGCCGGCGTGACCTGGAATGTGCATCTGGAGGAGGACCAGAAGGGCAGACAAGTAAGTATAAAAACATGAAAACAACAACTAATAATCAATCATTTGGACGCTTACTGAGCATTAAACAAATGATTGGATATGGCTGTACTATGCAGCACTAAGACCGTTTAGTACTTCGGCCTGTAATGCAGTCACAGTAGATGATCACTTCAAATTATTGCTGCTAAATCATGGGGTGCTCATCACAGGTTGCATTTAAATCATTAAGACCTGCAAATGACCAGAATATTTTTCATTACATCCTGATACGTACAACCTTCAAACAGGCTGTTTTTACCATTACCGGTTCATCCATCAGATAAGGCATTAACAATACTGCTGATGCTTTCCTCTGACTGTTACTTTTAAATTGAATCTGTCACACCGTTTCCAGATTAGACTACCTTTCTGTTTGGTAGAGCACATCAAAACAATCCACCAGAAGTGAAGAGAAAATGTAATAATGAGCTCATCATTTTAAGTTAAATTTTCCAAGCAGAAAATGCTGAATTTCTCTGGCTTCACCATCAAAAAACCTGAATATTCACCTTTTTTGGGCCTAATTTGGATTGAGGGGGTTTAATTCTTCCCTCACGATACATCTGAACCCTTTCGTAATATCTTTCTGGCATTCACGATTTATTTGTGGACCCTTATTTTAACGTATATTTGACATTTTTAAGCATTCGAATAATTGAATCAGAAATTAAGTGACAGTCAACCTTGTGTCAGCCTGACTTTGTACAATTAAAATAAAAACCCAGATGATCCAGCAGCAGCAAGAGGAATAAAATTACTTCTTTTTTTTTTAAACCAAAGAACAAAAAGGTGACACAGTGCAGGAACCTTTTACACAATTGTGAGACTAATCTGAATAAAATGTTGTTGTTTATTCAACATTTATGCAAATTAGCACATTTAATTAGTACTAATGAAAGAAACATTAGCATATTTTAGTATCAAATGTGTACTTGTCGAACACTTAGTCTTATTAACAAACCAGGGAGTTTCTATCATTTAAAATTTTTATCATTCAGAGCTGATTAAAAGAATAAAAATTTAAGATATTTTTCTGAATTATGAATCTAACGTACAAACAAAATGAAACAGGAACACTGAACCTGTCTTCAGCCGAATGCTCAGATTTTTCTTTTTTGAAGACGTTTGAAATAGGAAAATTATTTGGATATGTAACACTTCATCTGCTTATCAAAAGCATAAGATTTCAGAAAACAAAACATAATCATCTTAATCCAAGTAATCCACTGAAACTGTCCCTTTGATATATACAGTTTTAGCCTCTGAGGAAAGCTGTTCGGCTGCTTGCTCTGTCTGACTGTACTCAGCATTCGGTGCCCCCATGTGGCCATGGACAGATTTATCACCTCCCCAGCAGGGGGCGGTTGACTGCAAAAAGACTCCTGCGGTAAATGCAAAAACATTGTTTACTTCTGACCTGCATGAATCTAAAGACCCCGTCCGCAAAGAAACACTGATACTTACCCAGACCACCTCCACCTGTCCATTCAGCCTGTCCAGTTTCACAAAGTCGTCTTTGTTGGTAACCTGATCTCCAGATTTCAACCTCCAGCTGTTCAGCTTCCAGTTCTTCACCCAGCTGGTCACACCTGCATGAAGGAAAAAGAAAAGAAAAACCTTTACCCATTCAGTGGGAAATTCAAAAGCTGAAATCTGAGTGGTAACATGACTGCAGCATGACTCGAGTTTGTGACTCACCGTTTATTGTAAACTTGCTGTCAGTGTATAAAACGAGTTTCTTGATGTTATTCTGTTTGGCCTGTTCCAGCGCTCTGCAGGCCGCCTGGTGCAGCGAGAGCAGAGACGACAGTTAATTATGCTTTAAAGCTTGTAGAGAAAAATCAAAGCATAAAATAACAAACAGGCATTTACAGGCCTGCATCTTGCTATTCTTTCCAATAAATAGGTACATTTACATATCTGCTCCCTCAGGAAACTTTTCAGAAAGCGAGTCTAAAACCTTCATTCTCGTGGTGCTATTTTTGTTCCATAGTTTTGTTCCAACTATGACCATCAGGTGGCGCTTCTTTGTATTTGCTGTACATTTAATAAGCCTCTTTACATGCTGGCCCTCAGTAGTTTAAACTGGTTAAAACTGCCTCAGCCTCTCCTCTCTTTAACCCTAACACATTAACGTGCAGTTTTATAACACTATCACTAATGTCAGGTAGATTTTACCCGACACCCAAGAAACATACTTCCCATTAAAATATATTAAAGCACAACAATAACTGGCAAATTGAAGTGCTCTTCTTTTATTTCTCTCCACACAACATCTCACAAAAGGAAAAAAGGGTGTCATGGTGGTCCCTTTAAAAAGATTCTAAAGCAACAGAATGAAAATCACCCCGTGTAAGTGTTAAAAATTTAAAAAGTACTGTTTAAGTGCAGCCCTGCAGAGTTACCACTGAGCATTAAACTGGACTTTTAAGACAGAAACTCTCATGCTGAGATGTAAATCTTACTTGTATCTCAGCACGCTGGTTGGTCTGCCTTCCCTGCAGCCTCTCTGCAACATTTCTATAAAGCCAGAGGCAACAAATGTGAGAAACCGATGCATCCATTTATGCAATTAAGACTTTCACTATGGAGGTTTAGACTGAGCAAATTTTAGGAACTGTTTAAAACATGCTTGTTGTAGCACGTGCACATATTCTCACAGCGGGTTGTTGCATCCCCAGTAGACCCCGATGCCGGCCCGTGCTCCGCTCTGTCCGTTTCTTGAGCAGCAGCCATCAGTGTAAACGACCACAGCGTCACCTGTACGGAGAACGCAGAACAGTTCAGACTGGAGTTCAAGTTTTATTGCTTCCATTTTCTACATTTTACATTTAAATATATCTGTATGAAGTAAATAACATGATTTTGTCCCCATAACATGTTGAATGGTGTTAAGCTCTAATATTAAATCTTGCACATCTCACCCATGTACGTGAATCCGTCCGAGCTCTCTGATGATGAGTTTTGTGATGTCGAGCTTTCTGATGGCTTAACTCGTTTGGGCTGGTGCCCCGCCTCCTCCTCCGAGTGACATCTCTTTTTGCCAAGAGGGATGTACTCGAGCGGCTCCGGGCCTCGTTTAGGAAGCAGAGTGACATCAGACTCCACGCTCTGAGTTACTGAAAGCCACAAACACAAGACGTTCATCAAGAACAGTGTGCAGCAAGTACCTGATTCTCCACTTAAAATCACCTGTGAGCTTTGTGTGAATCCAGACCTGCATGCTGTATTACCACCT